GGATGTTATCTATGATCTCACATTGGATTTAGTTGTTTCTCCTTAGTCTCTAACAGTTCCTCAGTCTTTCCTTGTCTTTGCTTGCCGTTTTTGAAGAGCACTGAACAGTTATTAATATGCTGTAGAATATCCCTCAGTTTGGGTTTGACTGATGTTTTCTCGTGCTTGGAATCAGTCTATGCATTTTTGGTGTAAGTACCACAAAAAATGACTTTCTCAGTGTACTGTTATGGAGAGATTCATGATAATGATTTATTTTGTTACATAGTTCACTGGTGATATTTACCTTGATGGCTTTGTTAAGTTTGTGTTTGTGAGGTTTTCCACCCTAACGTTACTGTCTTTATGTCTGTAGTTAATAAATGTCTTGGGGGAGATACTTTTGGACTGCAAATCCTGCTTCTTCTCAAACTTTAACTCACTATTAGCATTGATGAGCATTGATTAGCATTGATCTTATCTGCAACATTTATCATTGTGGTGTCTGCCTAATGATGCTTCTCTGTTTCTCTTTTTCCATGTTCACTGTAAGAAATAGCCATGTCATTGCTAACATTTATTTGATGATTTGTATCAGTATGGATTTATGTATATTTAATTTATTGTATGGATTAAAGTCCAGGGCTATCATTATTGTGTTGTTCAAGTTGTGCCAGCTTTAGCCTTTAGGAGCTCCTTCGGGTTGGCTCCCATATTCTCATATCCTGTTGTTTTTCACAGCATTTTTCTACTTTCTGGCACCACAAGATGTTCCAGGCTTATCTTGTGTTTTCCCTATCCCAGCTCTGGAATCAACTGCTTTGTAGAGGAACCGAAGTTCTTTTTATTGGAGAATGGTGTTTAGAGACCAAGATTTGTGCACTAAGTGCGTTTACTGTTACTATAGAGTCCTTGCTTCTAGAGTGTCTCAGTGGACAGCTAGGAAATATTTGTATATATACAATTACATTACAAATGAATAACATAATCATACTGAAGGAGGTAGGATTAATGTAATGTGTGTTAAAACATTTTAGGTATTTAGAAAATTAGCAGACTTATCAATGCATAGATTGTATTTGTCTGTGTTCAATACATTCATACAGGTATGTATTACAGCCATTCTTTAATGCTCCAGAATGAAGGGTAATTGTGACACATCTTCTGCTTTGTTAATCAAATTTTAAAAGTGGCTGGATTCGTTGTAAACAAATGATGAACTTAGTATTAGTGAACAGCTTGAATGACACGTATGAACTGTGAGGTGTTTGATGTAATGAAAGTTGATGAAAATGGGAGGAGACAGAATAACAGGGATATGAATAGCCAACTAATAGAAATAAAGACATGCTTGATGATCTAGTGTTAGTGATCTAATCTGTTAATATGGGTTTAGGTATGAAGATCATTGTTTGCTCAGTGACAATCTAATGTTTGGTGGTTTGTTATATTACAAATAAGGAGAGCTCAGTTAAGAAACAGATATCCATATTTTAGTTGATTACTTTATAAAATATATTTAAATAGGGTATTAGTTAGGCTGCCATAAGCAAATGCCATAGACTGGGTAGCTTAAACAACAGAAATATATTTTCTCACAGTCTGAAGGCTGGAAGGCCCAGATCAGGATACTTGCATGGTCATGTTCTGGTGAGGGCTCTTTTCATGGCTTGCACATGGCCGTGTTCTTGCTGTGTGTTCACATGGCCGCCATTTGGTACATATGCATAGGGAAAGACAGAGGCCTGTACTCCTTCTCCTCCTTTTTCTCCTTTTCCTCCTCACTCTTCCTCACTTCTCCTCAGTCTTCCTCACTTTCCCTCTTTCTCAACACATCCTACTGGAATAGAATTTCACCTTTATGACCTCATTTCAACTTAATTACTTCCTCAAAGCCCTGTCTTCAAATACAGTACCATTGGGGGTTAGGGCTTCAACAGATGAATTTTAGGAGGACAAAATTCAGTCCTTAACAATTTAGATGATATATTTTAGTGTTCCTAAATGATTAATGTAATTTTAACTTAATAGGTTTATATTAACTTTACATTTTGACAGTTTTGACTGACAGTGAATCTTTTCTCATTCTCACATTAATTTACCTTGGTTGATTAAGGTCCGACATTTTATAGCATATGCTATATCCCATTTAGAGTAGAGTGGATGCTCTTCAAAGTGCTGCCGGATTATTAGAATACGTCTTTCTTTGGCACAGCTTTGTCCTCTTCAACCTTCCTTATATCGTAGCATGCTCTGGCCTTGGCTACTGCTTCTGTCAGAGTATTCCTGTATTTTCTGTAAATACTCACCACAGTAATGTGTATTATGCTCTTCAAAATGAGAAAAGGGTTTCCATGATCCATGAAAGATCGCTGGCCTTAATCTTCTGCTTCTGAGACCATTTTCTGTAAGAGTCTGGAACTGTGGTAAGAGAGGGTTTTTAAAAGCCAAGAAAACACAGTTATTTGTTTGCTGCAGCTCCAGCATTATCCTGACCACCGTCAAGTTAATGGTGACTTGTTAGAACACGAGAAAGAAAGGAGGTGAAAGACGCAGTACCTACTGCTTTGTGGGACGCAGTACTTACTGCTTTGTGGGACGTAGTACTTACTGCTTTGTGGGACGTAGTACTGCTTTGTGGGACGCAATACTTACTGCTTTGGGGCCTGCTAGAACCCACAGATTAGCTGAGTGCCTATGAGAGCACTCACAGCATAAGAGACAAATTTCATTTTAATAGGGCAATGTAATATACTTGTTTTATATATTTTAAGGAAAATATTGAAGAGAAATAGTGTTATGAATTAGCAGTGCCTGACATAACATTAAACAATGTAAGAAGGTATCTAAATTTCAGTTGATTTTGTTTATGTCCCTTTCAGGGTATTGTAGCAAACCTAATGGAGGTGTTGCCCACAAGGACTTTTATTGTGTTAGGTTTGGGCTCAGCTAGACCAGGCATTGCATTGGTAGTTGAATCTGTGTGAATGATGGAAGCTATAATGAGAACAGAACCTGAGAAAGTAGAAAGCTTTTATTCTAAGAAGATAAACCCAACCCATAAATAGGAAGCAGATAAGGTTGCAAGTAGACATGGACAGAGAACAAGAAAAATGTGAGGTTGTCAGGTACCTATTTTTTATGTGGCACCAGAGTAGTGGTTTGGTAACCAGACAAAGGTGATAAAGCTGGTCGGAGACTTCAGGGAAGAGAAAATTTAGAGCCAGGGAACCAGTGTTTTTTCTAACGTTCCTCCTTTTTTGGTCTGTAGTGATGATTTGGAAAGGTCTGTCTTACTTGGGGCCAACATAGTTAGTAATAGTTTTTACTTTCCAGCTAATGAGAACTGCAAGATCCAGAAGAGAAACAAGTTCACAGAGACAATCTCCTTTAGCTTTTTTATCCGTATGTGTTCCTAGAAACATTGGAAAGATGTGTGAGTGACTACCTGGTATTGTCATTTGGAATTGTCAAGAACTGTGAAGAGTGAGATTTTATCCAAGTTTGCCTGCCACAGTTTCTCAGATGCTGGCAGAAGACATGAAACTCTTGAGTCAGAGATAATGGACTTTATTAATTATGGCACAGCAAGCAGCATGAGTTTCATGTTTATGATGGTTCCCTTTGCTCCCTCAAGTCTCATATAGTTAACATTGTACCCAAGTGGATGCTAGACTTAGTAGGTTTTCATCACAGTTAAGGAGCTCCAAGTTTAAGAAACCCTAATCTTTTATAACGGTCTGCAAGCATATCTGCCTCACCTTTGCCCTAGAGGGAAACAGTATCTTTATTATACTGAATGTGAACAGGTCCTCTGCTCTGGAGGAGGGCATCATCTCTGTTTTTCGAGGCTGCTTCCTATAAATATCTTTGAAAAGATAAAGTCAGCTAGGGTTTTTTGAAAAATTATAGAAATGTGAGAGACCCATGGAAAATTGTCTCCCAGTAGGAAGTGATTAGTGAAAAGTCCTTTGGGCTCTGAGTGTTCTTGGCTTTTTTATTCTAGGTTTTTTAGCTTATAAATCAGGAGTCAGCAAACTTTTTTCCATAGAGGGACAGACATTAAATATTTAAGGCTTTTTAAGTCATATTTTTTCTGTCACACTACTGAACTCAGTTGTTGTAGCAGGAAAGCAGCCATAGACAATACATAAATGGATGAACCTGGTTGTGTTCCAATAAAACCTTATTTATAGACATTGAAATTTGAATTTCATGTAATTTTCACATATCAGAAAGTATTTTTTTTTCCAACCACTTTTACCTCGTGGATGGTCAAAAATGGGTGGCAGGCCAAATTTGGCTTGCAGGTAGTAGTTTTAGATGATGGATTTTGTTAATATAATATGTTGTTTTAATATAGCATTCTTGCAACATAGCAATTGATGTTTCTAAAATGTTTTCTCATAAATTACCCCAATTTGGGTTCAGAGAGCATTATCATCTCCATTTTGTGGTGAGAAAACTAATACATTGAGAAGGAAGATGACCTGTTGACCTACCCAGATTCATAAAACTAGTTAAGTGACAAGAGTCAAGACTTACTGTATTCTGGATTCTTTTCCCCATAATGTGGTACAGGTTAAATATTCATAATCAGAGTATCATGTTATATGTCTTTTGTTGCCAGAATATTCATTTATTGCCAGAATGCTTAGAACCTTATAAATAATAATGATAATAATGATGCATGATAGTTTCTAATTTTCTTTAATTTAATAATTAGTATTTTCACAAAAGCTGGATATGGGAGGTAAAGAGCATTAGTTAACAAAATTTGGTAAAAAATTGGCAGTTAAATAGTACAGACATTCATACACGGTATTTTTCATCTTTTCAAACATAATTGATTTTATTTTCAGAGGTATAAAATAAAAAACAGTATAGAACATCCCTCCCTCTAGTCAGCTGTGTTAATGCTGAACTAATATTTTAATTTGTCCAGTAAGTTTTATGCACATTTTTAAAGTTGGGATGTTGAGAACATCTTCTTTAGTCATGTCTGATTGCTTCCCTGTCAGGTGGTTGAAGATTACGCTGGAAGATGGCAGGTCCCTTTGCCACAGCTTCAGGTTCTTCAGACTGCGCTTTGCTGTTTTACCACAGCCAGTGCGTCATTCCCAGACGAATGTGAACACGTACAATATGTTCTGAGTAGCCTTGCTGTGTAAGTACTTTTTACTTCTTATAAATGCATTATTTTTCTTGATGTGTTTGAGAATTTGTTTTTGATCATTTCTTCTGAAGAAGAAACCTTTCCTAAAATACTCCTTCAAAAAGAAATGTTTATTTTTTCACTTAGGTTTAATTTTGAACATGTAACCATAATTTTACTTTAAGTTTTAAGACTTATGTGGAATTTTGATATACAGATTTTTCTGGTTACTATAAGCACTTTACTTTCCTTTTTAATTCTCCAGATTGCCTTCGGAAGCTCTAATGGTAAGTCCCAGAATACAGCAGTTAAGGCTATGATAGTCAGTAGAGACACCTTAAATCACACCAGAAAGAGGTTAGGAAAATCCTGGGTTTTTTGTTGTTGTTGTTGTCGTTGTTTTGTTTTTTGAGACAGTCTCTCTCTGTCACCCAGGCTGGAGTGCAGCGATGCGATCTTGGTTTACTGCAGCCTCTACCTCCCAGGTTCAAGTGATTCTCATGCCTCAGCCTCCAGAGTATCTGGGACTACAGGTGTGCACCACCATGCCTGGCTAACTTTGTTATTTTTAGCAGAGACGGAGTTTTACCATGTTGGCCAGGCTGGTCTCAAATACCTGACATGTGATCGGTCTGCCTGGGCCTTTGAAGGTGCTGGGATTATAGGTGTGAGCCACCACTCCCGTCTGAAAATCCTGGATTTTAAAAAATGCTGATAGAGAACTTCAAATTCAGGTTTAAAAACTGAACACTTCTGATTATCCTTTTTGCCCTCCTAGGAACCTACTAAAATTATAGTTAAGAAGTAAAAGAGAGAAGAATGTGAAAAGAAATAGGTAAAGATTATCAGTGAATGAACGATTTCTAGTTTTCTGGGGGACAGAAAGCAAATAGAGGAATGGTCATTGAAACACAGTGGAGCCAGTCACAGCGTCATCTGTTATTTATTTATTTATATCTCAGATTATACTCACACCACAACAGTGAGTTGTAAAATCATTTATCATTACAAAGTGCAATAGAAAGTATCAGAGTCTGTCTCATAGGATAAGTATTATTATGTGAAACATTTTTATGTATCTATAAATTAGGGAATGAGATATTTTGGGGAGAATGCAGATAAAGAAATTAATTACGATTTTTCCATTTAGTTCAATCACCAGGCCTTAGGGTCAGGTTAGGATGAGGAAACAGCATTGGAGGTTAAGTATCCCTAATCTGAGAACCCAGAATGTGACATCTGAAATGCTCCAAAATTTGAAACTCTGTGAGTGCTGACATGATACTCAAAGGAAATGCTCGTCAGAACATTATATATTTAAGATTTCCGGATTAGGGATGCTCAGTCAGTAGGTGTAAAATACAAATACTACAAAATCTAATACGTGACACACTTCTAATTCTGAGCATTTCAGTTAAGGCATACTCAACCTATCTTACTTTTTTATTTCCTCTATATAAATTAAATAACCTGGAGTAATGACCTTTGTATTCTGGCATTTACAGATTCCACATTGAGACTGCTAGCTAATTACTTAATTACTCTAAAGAAAAATTCATCAGTCAAGAAACTCCAGACTCATGCTCATAGGGCTCCTAGTTATTTACATATGGCCTTGTTTTTACATATTAATGAATAAGAATCATTAGATATTTTAAAATGCCTTCAACATGAAAAACACGCAATGAAAAAGTGAAAAATAATTTTGAAAGAAAGTGTTAATGTTGAAAATAAATTAAAAATGAAATATAAAGGAAGATGTAAAGCTAAAGAATTAATTCAGAATGTAAAACAAAACCAAAGGGAAATTTTAATGTGTCTGTGTACCTCTTTAAAAATTGTGTACCATTGTGCCTCTTTAAAAATTGATTTGTATATATTTAAAATTGTAGGTGGAAAGAAGAGTTTAGAATATATTATTGAGACTTGTAAGAGTGAGGCAGTTTAAAAAATATATATATTTTATTTTTTTCTAAGATGGAGTCTGGCTCTTTCGCCCAGGCTGGAGTGCAGTGGTATGATCTTGGCTCACTGCAACCTCTGTCTTCTGGGTTCAAGCGATTCTCCTGCCTCTGCCTCCCAAGTAACTGGAATTATAGGCACCCACCACCATGCCTGGATAATTTTTGCATTTTTAGGAGAGATGGGGTTTTACCATGTTGGCCAGACTGGTCTCAAACTCCTGACCTCAGATGAGCCGCCCGTCTCAGCCTTCCAAAGTACTGGGATTGATTACAGGCATGAGCCACCACACCTGGCCTAAAAAAGAAAAACTATACCAAAAACTATATATATTTATTTTGTGATGCCTGAAGGAATATATGAATGTATTTGTATTTGAACTTCTTGATTTTACCTGACAAATCTTACTCAAGCTTAAGTATAAAACAAAACAAAACAAAAAACATAAAAAAAGGGCAGAGTGCTTTATTAGATAACTAAGCCGTAGAAAAGCAAGAACTGGGACTAGTTACAGGATTTTCTGAATCTAGAGAGTAGAATATCTCAACAGTAGTTAGATGAGCTAATATCTAGGAACTGTTTCTTTCCATCTTTTCCTCTTTGGGCTTTACTTTTTCAGGGCTGTTGACAGTTCTAGGATTAAGCTCAGTTTAACCAAGGAGGAAGAAACCCCTTCTCTCTGCTTCAGATCCCAAAAATACCTTGAGAAGAACTCTGCCAGGCCTCAGTTATGTGCCTACTGCTTAGATTAATCACTGTATTAAGAATGTCGTAAGATTTTGGGCTAGTCCCTGGCTAGGGGAAAAGAGAGTAAGTCATGTGCTGCATACAGATGTTTCATGTGAGATGGTGGTACCATAAGATTATAATTGCCCAATGAAGTCATAGCCACCATAAAGCAGTGTGACACATTATTCATGCTTGTGGTGGTGCTGGTGTAAACAAACCTACGGCTCTGCCTATTCTATAAAAGTAGGATGTGGAATTATACATATAGTACGTAATACTTGACAGTGATATTATTGCTTTATGTATATGCTCTACTATACTTTTTATTGTTATTTTAAAGTGTACCCCTTATACCTATTTTAAAAAGATTAACTAAAAGAGCCACAGGCAGGTTTTACTGAAGGCATTCCAGAAAAAAGACATTGTTATGATACAAGACAACAGCTCATGCATGTTCTTGCCCCTGGAGAACTTCTACCATGACAAGATGGAGGTGGAAGAAAGTGATATTGATGACCCTGATCCTGTGTAGGGCTACGCTGTTCAGTAGGTGTCTTAGTTTTTAATAGCAACAACAAAAATATAGAATACTAAAAAGAAAAAATTTAGGGAATAAGGATACAAGAAAATCTTTTTATATAGCTGTACAATTGTGTTTGTGTTTTGAGCTAAATGTTATAGTCAAAAAGTTAAAAAAATTAAAAAGTTTATTAAGTAAAAAGGTTACAATAAGGTTAATTTATTATTGAAGAAAAAAAATTTTTTTTATAAGTGTAATATACCCTACATATATAGTATTTATATTTCTGTATTAGTGTATAGTCATGTCAGGACCTTCGCATGCATTCACCATTCACTCACTCACTCGCCTATAGCAACATCCTTCTTGTAAGCTCCACTCATGGTAAATGCCCTATACACGTATACAGCTTGTATCTTTTATACCAGGGGTGTCCAGTCTTTTGGCTTCCCTGGTCACACTGGAAGAAGGAGGATTGTCTTGGCCCATACATAAAATACACTAACACTGACAATAGCTGATGAGCTAAGAAAAAAAAATTGCAAAAAGATTATGTAATGTTTTAAGAAAGTTTATGAATTTGTGTTGGGCCTCATTCAAAGCCATCCTTGGCTGTGTGCAGGCTGCGGTTTGGACAAGCTTGCTTTTTACTGTATTTTTACTGTATTTTTTGTGTTTAGTTACACAAATACTATTGTGTAACAGTTACCTATGGTATTCAGTACAGTATCACTCTATACAGGTTTGTAGCTGAGGTGTGTAGTAGACTATACCATTTAGGTTTGTGTAAATACATTTAAAGATGTTCACACAAGGAAAAAATCACCTAATGATGCATTTCTTAGAACATAGCCCCATCATTAAGCAACATATGACTCTACTATGTTGGCTGCTCCATCAGAACCATAGAATGTTGGAGAGATAAGCAGTTGCTTAAAGAATTGGTTATGTAGACAAAAATAATAAAAATGATGATACTATAGGGAATATTTTTATATTATTTTGCAGATTACCAAAACTGTTTCAGTTATTCTCCACTGATTTTTGAGGAAAATAAGTATAAAAGAAATTATTTGTAAGCAGTAAGTGTTGTTATTGTTTCAGTGCCTATTGGAATTTTTCCCCCCTTCATCTATATAATCTTGGTTAACTTCAGTGTTGTTATGTGACACTTCTCTTAAAACTTTCAGTTTCTTTGGTTTAAAATGTCATTTATTGACTTCCCTTTCATTGCCTACTAGCTGGTATGGTTTGGCTGTGTCTCACGCAAATTTCATCTTGAATTTTAGCTCCCGTAATCCCCATGTGTCATGGAAGGGATCCTGTGGGAGGTAATTGAATCATGCTGTTGGGATTTTCCCATGCTGTTCTCCTGGTAGTGAATAAGTTTCATGAGATCTGATGGTTTTATAAAGGGCAGTTCCCACGCTCTCTTGCCAGCTGCCATGTAAGATGTGCCTTTGCTCCTCCTTCGCCTTCTGCTGTGATTGTGAGGCCTCCCTAGCCTTATAGAACTGTGAGTCCATTAAATCTCTTTTTCTTCATAAATGCCCGCTCCAGTGTTTCTTCATAGCAGTATGAAAATAGAGTAATACACTAGCTTTTTTACTACTGCCCATGTAAAAAATAATGTGCTAAATAAAAGCAAATCTTATCTAAGATGTTCAGTGTAAGGCAAAAGAAATATATTACCTTGATGACTTATTAAATAGTAAGATTTCTTTAAAGGAAACCTTTTTGCATTTTTTGTATTTACTTTACAGAGAAGTTAATTGTATTTTCCATACCAGAAGAAAAATGG